TAATTGCGTGTTAATTACGAAGACGGGATGTGTAAATGGACCGTCCATTCTCGGACCCGACGGGTACTACCACTACACAATACTACTTTCATTCTAATCATACCACTACACAATACTACTTTCATTCTAATCAATTTCAAGCCAAAAACGTCGGGTAGTACCGCTCTCAAAACCGATATAGTAGTGGTACTCGAGGGGTGTTTTTGGCACCCGCGGTACTCCCGCCCGGCCGCAAGCAATTTCTCGCTCGTTACGCCATTCTCGTCGGTAGTACCGCAATCCATGCGGCACGCAGCCGCTCATTACGGATTTGTCATGTGTCATTAAAAAGTACGATGGTTTTTCGGCGAAGTGTAGGCTAAGGAGGCCCGGCAAAAACTCCAATACATCATGCTATCCGTGGACAGTTGAAAAATGAAGATCGGACCGCCGAGACCGGTCAGACTGTGACCCAACTCACCCTCCAGCCGTCGGGACCGTCACGTTCTAGCGCCCATGATGCGGTAGTCAAAATGTTTTCCTATATGCCATGGGAGTTTATGGGGTTCTCGAGTCGGGTTAATTAGTATGGTAATTAGAAAGGTGATTTTGCTTTTCTTTTCGATTACAGGTAGTTTTATGGCTGGCGGCGCTTTTTTGTGTCTCGGGACCAGAGAGACCATTAATTTCGTTTTTTATGAAATATTTCGTTCGTTATTTATATGTTAAACGTGGACCTAATGATTTTTTTCCCATCGTCGGAGGAATCATTAATTTAATTACCATAACTGATAGGTACGGGCAGTACTGGGGAAAATCAAAGGCCGATATCGATCGGGGGATTAAATGTACGCCGGATGGTATAAATTAACTCGAAATTAGAAATCAACGCGGTAGTACCGCCAGGTACTGCAACAAAAAAACCACCCAATTAATGAAAAAAGTCACCAAAATAGAATCAAGTATCATCCACCAAACCAAGATTAACCCCAAAATAACAAAAGTAGTACCCAATCGTAGTACCGGCGACGAAAACGAGAGTCTAATTTAAAACAAACACTCAAAACCCAAACCACATATCAGTACCACTCAATTACTATAAAGTTCAAACACCGTGAAGCAGTACCTACGTACTCTCGCCAAAACTCAAGATTGGCTAATCACGAGATTGTTGTTTTTCACAAATCTCGAAACAATCCAACTTTAACTATTCATTAAAATCGTACCTACGTTTAATCAGAAGTACTAGAGTGATTTATCTCGGAAGCATCAACGTGCAGGCAATAAATAATTATTCTTTGTACTGCTAAGCATCTAATTTAATTACATGGTGTAAATTGAAATAACGCAAAAGCAATTTGTTCGCTGTAACGTAATTATTTTGACGTCAGAAATTAAATCTATATCGGTACTGAAATGGTACCATCACGGCTCCAGTAGCGACTAAAGTGATTGGATTTCAAGTACCACCAGTACTAAAAATTTTAAAATTTTAACTATGCCACTAATAACTACAAACTCGAATAACAAGTCAATTTCGGTAAGTATATAAAATTAATTATAAGTAGTACCTTCATACGCGTTACACGATAATTTATCGAAGGAACTTGTCAAGATAATTTGCAGTTACACACTAATAAATCTTAAACATTTTAATTATAATTGTAATACCTATAATTTTTGTTTTTATCTAAATGGTACGTCGATGAGTACCATCCGCAGTGATTTTAGCACCACTTCCACTTCCATTTCACCTCCAGTCCTGATACCATCGACCCTTGTCGTTCAAATTTGTAAAATCACGAATAATGCGCTGCGGTACCTTGCGGTACGACCAATATTTTCGTGTCTAATTTTTCGTCTTTTCGTGTGTATTCTTAGTCGCTCTAGTAATGCAGCTTTTCAGTTATAATCAAAATATTTCAATTTTTTGTTTTTATTTTAGTCGTAGGTCACTCGGTACTGCGTCCACAGCTATTATAGTAGTGTCGGTTTGTAAAGATTTTTTTGTCGTTTCCGATCACCCTCTCACTAATTTTCAAATTTCGTCTCACTGTTAATTATATCGCGCGGTACCGCCGGGTACCGCCGCCACCTTCACCCTCAACCACCGGACTTCGCACGCCCGCTTGACACCCCTTCCCGCGACGAATCCCGGCACGCGTCTTCCTATCGCTTGCGCCAAACACCCTCACCCCCATCCGCCGCCCCCGATATTATCGTTCAATTAGCATAAACGTGGCGTCCGAATCAGCGGCGGCGATTCGTTTCGCGCGTGTCCGATTATGACGTCACACGTCAATTTTTGCCGAGTCGGTCGGAGGGAAAAGGGGTGAAAAAGCTATTAATTCGGATCACAATGGGACGGTATCGGTACAAGGGGTCCCGTCTCTGGAGGATTCTAAGCCGGCGAATTCCCCAGCGCTGAGCTATTCAAGAATGGAGTGTCCCTGATGCGTGCACGAGTTTTCGCTGATACCGACATAGAGATGCGGAGTCCCGAGGGAAGGGCCCTGTGTGCTGGGCTGTCCTGTGTGTGATATAACACGGCCGAGTAAATTACGGTGCGGTGATTCTTATTAAACGCGCTTGGGGTCGGATTTGGGGTGGGGGAGGGGTTGTTTGGGTTCGTTATTAATTGGAAAATTAGTGTCGGGGTTAAATATGCACTTGTAGAATGATGAAAGTGCGAGAGGAATTCGTAGAAACGATACAATGGTTACTGCAATTTACATATAGCGGAGTACCGGAGAAAACTCTTTAATGTATAAAAGTAACTTTTTTTCGTACTTTTAAAGCTTATTCTAAAGATAGAAAGTATATTATACAAATTAAGCTAAGAGGTACTACCATATAGTGTGTTAAGTACTCTCTCCACGTGTATCTATGAGTTATTAAGCTTAAAGTTACGCAGGTGTGGACCCCAAAAATAAATCCTCTTACGCATTTTAGATTTTAATTAACAGTACGATGCGATATAGAGTAGTACCCATTATAATATGAAACTATTGTCACAAAGAAACAACAGATTTTCAAATAAGTTTGATCATTTCGACAACAATAACGACAATAACAAGATATATTGAACCGAAGAGAGTACTTTGTGGTACCAACTATTAAATAAAAATTGTTGCCTGCCTTAATTGTCTGAAAGCAACTGTAGCGTCACCAAAATTTTTTTTTTAAATAAAGAACAATTGAATTTTAATTTTTTATTGACTCGACAATCGATAAATTTAGGTTCTGTTTTCGATAACTCTTCCAAATTTAAAAATGTCAACAATCTGTCAATTTTGATAGCTAAAACTCAACTGAACTAAAAAATCATGAAAGGATATTAATTAATACAAAATTTATTCATAAAGCCGAAAGTACTACAAAGTACTCATAGCTTATTCATTAAATAAATATTATTATTATCAATTTCCCCTAGTACTACAATCTAGATCCGCACGTACCACGCCAAAAATTAGCACTCACACTTGCATGTAAACTGTACAACCCAATAACACGTGTAACAAATTACATTAAGTACCAACACAAAAAACGGTACTACTTACTACGACAGGTAATTAATTGTTCAAGTTTTAAGTAAGTTTTTATGGTAGAGTGCGTCCAAACCGTGCAACTATTACAGTTATTGTAATTTGTAAAAATGATACTCGGTACTACTTGCTACAAAAATCCAACTACATGTAATTTGATTAACATTAAAACGTTTCAGTTTACTAATGCACACTGATTGTCGTGACAAGCAACTCTGCGATAAATTATCCCGTACCGTACACAAAGGTACCACCTATAATTAATTTTATATTCTTACCGAAATTGACTTGTTATTCGACGCGAAGTCATTAAGGAGATACTTAAAATTTTATAACGCGCCTAAGTTTTAATATTTGTAGTAAAACTAGGAGTACCGTGCTGGCGTATAGGTATCTGCGTTCCGTCGAAACTTTGAGTACCGGTTTGAATTTTGCAGGCGCAATTCCGAATATTGTCGTATATAATGTTGTAGTACTTGACGGTACTACAATAGATTATATAACGCGTCGTATTGGAAAGTGCTGGTAATGCGTACGTAATATGGAAGGTAATTAATAATGATAATGAGAAAAGTCCACAAAAATTGCGTTTTTAATCGATGAGGATGGTAGGTAATTATGTAAGAGTACTAAGCGGTACTTATCAAGTAAAGCGGTACTTGTAAAGTCTTATTGGTGAAAAAACGCGCAACTTTTTCGCTTTAAGTGTGCTTAACGCGAGGTCTATAGCTTGTGGTACCACCTCGAAGAAATCCGCTCGATCTTTTCCAAGTTCAAAGAACAGCTAAACAAGAAATTTCCATTTCGTTCCCCGTCCGGAGGAGCCCCAAAAAAGCGCTGATTGCGTTTACACGAAACCGTTACGGTACTTTAGTTCCAGCCAATATAAATAAAAATTAATCAGAAACTATGTATGAACGTCGTTTCCGTCTTCTTTCATCGGCTTAGACGCAAATAATAAAATTTAACCGTCAAATTGGCCGCGCTTTTTGCCGGTGGTACCGCGGGGGTCGAACGTGACGAAATTCAAAAAAATGGCCACCACAATGACTGTGCTGCGGTTCTTCCCCGACGGTACTAGCGCGACTGCGAAAACCGTCCCGCGGTACTGCCGCGTCCGGCGCTGCGCTCGCTCACAAGATTAGAGAAAAAATCGTTCCACAGCCCACAAAAACAAATTTCCCATACTCTCCAGTAGTCATAAACACGATTTACAACCGCACCGAACGCATTTCGTTTTACACATCACCTCGAGGTGAAACTAATATGAAAAGATGCAAAACAGTAGCGCAAGACGGGAAAAAGGCCGTGAGCCTTATGTCGGGGGACATAAGGGCGGCGGTCCGGTCCGCGCGATAAGATCGCGAGCTGATGGCTACCTGCCGTGGGCGGAGTCTAAATATGGGCGTGCCGCGGCGCCGCGATTGGCCGGCGAGTCGGAGAGGGGACGGATCGATGCAAAGGAGGGATGCTGACAGCCGAGAATCGCCCGTCAGTCGCTTGTTTCGTATCGTTAAGGTCGCATCGCACGTCCTTCGTCCCCGGGTACCATATTAACTTTTTTTTTGTTTTTGCTTTTCGGTCTCCGTAGTGCCGCAAGTGTCCAGGAACGTAGCGAGTGTTTTTTAAGTGGGTGTTGTGCAACGAGTCAATCTGGCGGCCTACCTTGAAGGAGGGCCCGCTTGCACCTCTGTCGGGGCCCTTACGCTGAGGGCCGGCCTGGCCCATGTGCCCATCGGGCCCAGTTCCAGCTACATCCAGCACTCAGCCCACAATATAGGTCAGTGCGGCCCCGACTCCGGCCCTGCACTCGCGGTACTGTTTTCGGTACTCGTTGGATCCGTCGCGCTCGACCGAGCCGACTTTTTGGTGCGCGGATTTTTTCGCCGGTCCGTCGGCAACGTTTCGACGGCCGTCCTCAGAATCCCTCGACCGTCGCCGCCTTGATCGCTTGACTAAACCCAAAGTTAAAAGTGTGACGAATCGTAGGTCATGAAAAATCGCTTTTTTCCGTCCTATCGGTGTCAATATCACCGAGACCTCCGCGCCGTCGTAAACCAGATTCGCCCTTATCGCGGTACTCACAATATAAACTTTACAGCCGTGGAAACGGAGGCGGCCACGGGAATTAATCACTCACCGATAAGGTTTTACTGTTGGGAAATGTCATTTTTGCGTTCGACTGCCAGCTTTTTCAAGCAAAAACGCAACTTTGATCCGCCGCCCACCGCCTAACCTCGATACATGAACTAACGTTACGTACACGATCGTAATTTGAATAAAACATCGCGCGGCGGCACACCATTTCCATGTAAATTTAGCCACAACTGAGGATGCTTGTTGATTTAGCGCGAAACGTCGCCAGAACCGTCACGAGCGCGGCTCGCAGAATCCATGCACCGAGTTGCGTCCGGATGGGGCGACTTCCAGGTAGTACCTTTGGGTACCGCGGCCTGCGGTCGCCCGCCGCACCGCAAAATCGCCGGAATTTTCGACAATTCGTCGTGGTCGGACCCCTCTCCGCCCCTAGACGAAGCCACCACGCGATAATAACAGTAATAACAATAATACGCGCGCATAAATTGATCCTCATTAGATTAAGAGATATCGTAATTATTGGACGGGACTCGATTCGAGTCGGGTGTCGCGCGATTATAAAGTACCATACGGTTGTGTAAACAAACGCTATATTTTCTCCGGCGGAGAGGCTGAATGGGTGTTGAAATTGTGAGAATCTGGGTAATTTACGATGAAGACGTTTCGTAAGTGGACGCGGTCATCCTCAGGCGGATTTTGTCACAGCGATGACACAAGTTGCGGTGTGGAGAAATCGGACAATTTAAAAATAGAAGGATGCCTAATTTTTCCCGTGTGTTCCCAATCGCAATTAATTTGATTGATCTAAACCACCACACAAACACCACCAGACACATGTTCCCAAAATCGCTTCCGTTTGATCTTCGTAAAAACACAGAATTAATGGTAAAAAAACACAAGACCGCACGTTCCTAATTCGTTTCGTGTCAATGTTGAAATTAATTACAAGTAGGCGCACCTGCACATGTTTTTCTTTGGAAAAAAGCGTTTTTAATTTTCCCCGTTCACCTACAGCGTGGTCGCAAAAAATAGTCGCGAACTAGTGAACCCGAAACTTGGAAATTGTGATTAGGTGTGCTATACAGGGGGCGCAGAAATTCCGCCCAGCCCGTCGGATTGTTTGACGTTTCAGTCCCGGCCACCTTCGATCGCTGGTATTTCCAGCTTGTGTCGAGAAAGTCATAGCCACGCTTGATTTGCCGAGAAAATATGGTACGAAAGTTGCAGCGTTGTGATCGCGGTCGGAGGACGAAAAAGTCGGAGGCGGTAAAAAAGCACAAAAAGCGTGAAGAAATTTGTAAGAAAGGCGGCGTCTGGCGTGCGGGGAAAATGCGTCTTTTTGGATTCGGAGTGGTTTGGGTTTAATGGGTTTGAAAAAATATCGCTGGTCGCATTTTCTCTGATATGTAAATCGAGTGTAATAGCAGATACGTTCATTATTTAATATTCTAAGCAAATTTATTCATTGGGTTAATTATTTAACAAGTAATTAGAGATTAGCGCTAACTGTTTTGACTAGCATATGTTATTAAGTTAGATAGGTATACAAATTTGATGCTTGGTTTTCTTCGTTAATAATAACCTCTTGGAGAAGAAAGTCGGAAAAAAATTAATTTGGACTTTGCTGTGCCTTCAAAAACGTAGTCTTCAGTTGTGACAGTTTTGGTTTTTTCCATTTCAAAATGTTTATAATAAAGTTTGTGTCTGGAATTTCAAAATTGAAGGTTATCGGACTAAGGATAAATCGCTTGTCGAAATTTATCCGTTTACGACCCCCTAAAACCTGATTAATTTTTCGTCTCGCCATATTTTAATTCTCAACTTGGTGTTGCGTTTTCTTAATAGCATTTATTTCAATCAAAAGTATATAACAATATTTTCCATTTAATTTTGAAATTGTAAAGTGCGAAACCAAATCTTTTGAAATATTGAAATGTTTTAGGTTATCAGAAACAATTAATCATTAATTAAAATTTTATCTCAAATTTTTGCCTATTATTTAAAACAAGCAAAATATTTTGACTTTATTCTTTTACCAAAATATTCATTGCTTTTTTTATTACTTCTACAGGGTGACTGAAAAAATTTAATGAATGGGCTAGTCTATTCTATTGATCAAATCAAGAACGGCTCACCACATTTTCCTGAAAATATTATAACTATCTTGAGACCAAATCAAATACTTATCTATTTCTCACTATTCGATGAGCTTATCTTCTAGAAATTCATTAAAGCTGTAATAGCTTTTATCAAAAAAAGAACTAAAAGGTTGTTCACAAATTGATTTAAATTAAATTAAAACCCTGTATAGCTATTTGACTATATTATTCCTGTATAATGAGGATTATTTTCCTAAGAAGATATCCTGATGAAATAATTATAAGAAAGAATCTCAGCCAAACTGTCTAGGTTTTTTTTATACCTAATAATATTCTCTAGATTTTGGTACTACTTAAAATTTAATTAATTATTCTTAATAATTTACCTTCTTAAGGACACCAATAAGTATTTTTTTGAATTACACCTGAATGTGCTCGCTGCACTCGCATTCTGAATAGGGTAAATGTGTACAAGAGTACGCACTTAGTGTAAAAGTGTCAATAACTTTTTAATTTTTTTGGATAGACAAATTTTATGATATGGGTTCGTTATATACATGTTTAGAGATCAGATATATTTAATTGTACGTCTCAAGACCACTATATTTTAAGAGTAATTTCAATTTTTGTCAAGATGTGTAAATGCGCACTCTTAGACAGTTCATTGCACAAGAGTGCGCATTTGAATACTTATGAGTGCGCATTACATTTTATAAAAAAATATTTGTTTCTAAGGTGAAAATAAATGGGAATAAGTGACTACAGACTACACATAAAACGGGAGACCTATTTCTTCGTACTCTAGGGGTCTTGAAAAGTCGAGAAAACGTAAAAATAGAGAGTCGGTCGACGGACTCGATTACAACACGCTCAGGAAGTAAAAATAAAAAAAAATCACCATAACCACCACCACACAACTTCGGAAGCAGTACAAAGTAGTATAGTTAAATAATTCATTATCGTATGATATGTATCTCCAAGACTATTAGACTACGTATTGCAAGCAATGCGCACTCTTATACAATACCTCGCTGCGCACTCTTGTACATTTGTACATAACCTAATGTTTTCAAAGTTAAAAGCTTTTGATGGATAGAAAGTATAAAAGTGTTAGTGTATAACGAGACCTTAAAAGTTACAACTAATGAAAATTATTACTGTAAAATAAAAGAACTGGTACGTACCTTACAAAAAACTAAAACTATGAGCGGTAAAAATTACATCCACACAACGTGTGAACATAAAATCGTCAGAACGACCAAACTATAAACTATATTCAGGTCACTTTTGCACCTTTATCTCAGGTTTAGCATTAAATTCTGATTGGTATAACTTCATCTTACCCAGATGGCACTAATAAGCAGAAATCATGAGTGCGTACTCTTATACATATTCGCACTCTTGTACACACTTACCCTATATATATTTTTTAATTAATTTAGTGTCATAAAAACATTTCCCAACGAACAAATCTACTTACCTAATTTTTATTGTAATATTTCTCAAGATCTCCCTGTGAAGAATTTTTCTCAATAATTTAGCTTCTCAGATACACCTTTAAAATTAATTTATATCTTAAGTATGATAATTGAAATATGTACATCCGAACATGCTCGCTGCGCTCGGATTTTTATCTTTTTTTTCCGACTTTATTGTCGTAGTAATGTGCAAGAACGACTGTCAGCAAAGTTGTCTCAGTTTTCTTCTATAATAATAAACCTCTTATTACTGTAGTAAAATAAACCTTTAAAATGCGAGTGCAGCGAGCACATTCAGAAAGTTTCAGTTCTACAGACTTTGGTGTCTTTAAACCCACATTTTTTAAATAACAACAAAATTGTTTTAATAATTTACCTTCTCCGGGACACCAATAAATATATTTTTTAAATTACACCTGAACGTGCTCGCTGCGCTCGCATTTTAAACGTTTTTTTAACTTTATTCTCATAGAAGTGTTAAAGGAAGAATTTCAATTCTGTCTCAATCTAATAAATCTCGAGACTTATTATTTAAAAAAACCGTCTAGAATGCGAGCGCAGCGAGCACGTTCAGGTGTAATTTAAAAAATCAATCATTGGCGTCCCTGAGAAGCTAAATTATTTAAACAATTTTGTTGTTATTTAAATACGTAAGTTTAAAGGTCATTTGTAATAACTAGTTTCTCTAGGAGTGAAAAATCCTGAACGACCGACGACCAATTTTGCATTATACCTAAATGTGCTCGCTGCACTCGCATTGTGAATATATACCTTTTTTCAATTAATTTAGTGTAATAAAAACCTCTGCGAATGAACTTAGTTTTTATTATAATAATTTAAGAGGTCTGAATGTGAAGATTAATTACTCCAGAAGAATCAACTTCTAAAGGGCGAGCGCAGCGAGCAGTTTTAAGACTTTTTAGTGTCTTAGATTTTAGTAATCACAATCAATATTTAAACTAAAATTTTAGATAACAACAAAATTGTTTTAATAATTTAGCTTCTCAGGGACACCAATAAATAATTTTTTTAATTACACCTGAACGTGCTCGCTGCGCTCGCATTCTAAACGTTCTTTATTTACAATTTAGCCTCAGAATAATTAC